CTTAACGCCCTGGATAGAAAAGTCCGCACTACCATGACGTCCCATAGGATGCATCATCCGAGATCGTCGGTAATGAGGCTGTACTTGCCGCGAAAGCATGGTGGGCGTGGCTTTCTGAGCGCGTTCACCATGCATAATCGCGAAGTGTGCAGTCTCCGTCAATACTTCTTGACGAGATCGGATGATCCATTCTATAATGACGTCATTTCTAGTGATAAAGGGCTTACCCCTCTATCCTTAGCCAACGAGCAATGGCAGGACCCGGCAGTGCTTAGCATTCCCGACCGGGAGACCGTATGGAAGGAGAAGGAGCTCCACGGGAGGTACTACAAGGCTCTACATGAGCCCTTCGTAGATACAGTCGCCTCCCTCAACTGGCTACGTTTCGGTGACCTTTTCGGGGGAAACCGAGGGTTTTGTCTGTGCAATACAAGATCAGGTTATTAAGACCAACAACTATCGGAGATACATCCTAAAGGATGGCACCGTCGACGTCTGTCGAGCTTGTCGCCATCCCGGGGAGTCACTTAGGCATGTCATCTCCGGTTGTTCGGCGCTTTCTAACTCTGAGTACTTGCACAGGCACAACCTAGTAGCCAGAATTCTACACCAGGAGCTCGCTCTGAAATACGGTCTCGTGGACCGGAAAGTGCCGTATTACAAGTACTTGCCGGAAGCCGTGCTCGAAAATGACCGCGCCAGGCTCTACTGGGACCGGGCCATCATCACAGACAGGACTATTCTTGCGAATAAACCTGATATTGTGCTGATGGACCGGGCACAGTCAAGAATATTTTTGGTCGATATTACCATCCCGTATGACGAGAACCTCGTGAAAGCCGAAACAGATAAGCAATCAAAGTATCTGGACCTGGCTCACGAGGTGACCGACATGTGGGGTGGTATGCCGACCGAAATTATTCCTGTAGTCGTCTCTGCGAATGGGCTAATCCCAGTTAGCCTCTCTGGTCATCTGAGGCGACTGGGACTCCGTGACGGACCGCTCCGGGCTCAAATGCAGAAGGCGGTGCTCCTTGATACTGCCCGCATCGTCCGCCGGTTTCTTTCCCTTTCCCCCTAACCCTCGGCCGTTTGGTCTCCTCTGCCGAGGGCTTCCATCTGGTTGGGCTTTTATTTATTTATGTATTTTTTGTATTTATTTTATTTTATTAATATTTATGTATATTTATCTTTTCATTTTAATTTATAATTATATATTTAAACATCCCAACCAGATGAGAAAACTATATAGAAAAAAAAAAAAAATAATAATAATAATAACTGCCTGTGCAAGTACTCAGAGTTAGAAAGCGCCGAACAACCGGAGATGACATGCCTAAGTGACTCCCCGGGATGGCGACAAGCTCGACAGACGTCGACGGTGCCATCCTTTAGGATGTATCTCCGATAGTTGTTGGTCTTAATAACCTGATCTTGTATTGCACAGACAAAACCCTCGGTTTCCCCGAAAAGGTCACCGAAACGTAGCCAGTTGAGGGAGGCGACTGTATCTACGAAGGGCTCATGTAGAGCCTTGTAGTACCTCCCGTGGAGCTCCTTCTCCTTCCATACGGTCTCCCGGTCGGGAATGCTAAGCACTGCCGGGTCCTGCCATTGCTCGTTGGCTAAGGATAGAGGGGTAAGCCCTTTATCACTAGAAATGACGTCATTATAGAATGGATCATCCGATCTCGTCAAGAAGTATTGACGGAGACTGCACACTTCGCGATTATGCATGGTGAGCGCGCTCAGAAAGCCACGCCCACCATGCTTTCGCGGCAAGTACAGCCTCATTACCGACGATCTCGGATGATGCATCCTATGGGACGTCATGGTAGTGCGGACTTTTCTATCCAGGGCGTTAAGCTCAGTCTGAGTCCACCTGAGTATGCCAAAGGTATACATGAGGACAGGCATGACCCAGCAATTATATGCGTGTGACTTATTCACACCGGACAAAAGGCTGTTAAGCACTTTGGTCAAGCGTGCATAAAACACGTCGCAAACTGACTGTTTCATACCAGCCTCATCGATACCGATGTTCTGTGACATACCCAGGTATCGGTATGTTTCAGCCTCGGAAAGGGTCCTTAAGTTGACGGGCATAGACAAGTCTATGCCCTCAGAGTTAGCAACCCTTCCCCTCTCAACATGGAGGACCGCACACTTATCCGTCCCCAGCTCCATTCCAATGGAACTGCTAAATTCACAAGTGATGTTTAGCAGTTCCATAAGATGGGAGCGACTGGAGGCGAATAACTTGAGGTCATCCATATAGAAAAGGTGGGTCACTTTTGTCCCTCCTCTCCGTAGCTGAAATCCCCTCCCGGAGCCCTCCAGTAAGGTACTGAGAGGGTTTAGAGAGAGGCAGAACCAGATTGGACTCAGACAATCGCCCTGGAAGATACCCCTTCTTATCCTTATGTGGTTCTCCGCAGCCATCATCCGCTCGCCCAGATGACAAAGGATCGTACTCCACTGCCCCATACACTGCTCGAGGAAGTCTCTAACTGTACAGTCAATCTTGTACAGCTCGAGGACCCTCTTTAGCCATGTATGGGGCACCGAAGTCGAATGCCTTTCTATAGTCTATCCAGGCGGCAGAGAAGTTCCGACGGTTGCGTTTCACCACTTTGCCAATGACCGCGTCAATGAGGAGTGGTTCCTTGGTTCCACGACCACCGCCCCGACATCCATTTTGAGCGCGTGACATCAACTGGTTTAGCTCCAGGTGCCGAGTGATTCTCGCGCTCAAAATGGATGTCAGTGTCTTATATATGGTGGGTAGACACGTGATGGGGCGGTATTTGCTCGGGTCTGTGGTATCCTGATCTTTAGGAACCAAGTGAGTGATCCCAGTAGTGAAGAGGCTCGGGAGCGACTTCTGGTCGAGAGCCTCTTGAAACTGTCGGGCGAGCACAGCGTGACACACTATGAACCCCTTCAGCCAGTAATGATGCAGCCCGTCGAGCCCCGGACTTTTCCAGTTCGGGGCCCTACGGACCGCCTCAGCCACGTCTTCCGGCGTTACGGTGATGGGGTCCATAGGCGTAACACTCGCACCCTGGCTCGCCACAACTTCCATCCAAGGGCCCTCGCTGTGGTTTACGGGCTCTGACCACAGGCCACGCCAGAATGCGATAATGTCTGCCTGATCCGGTCCTTGGCCCGCTCCACATACCTTTGGCCGCTCCAATGATTTATAGAGCCTCTTCTGATCACTCTGGAAGAGACGATTCTGGTTGAACCGCCTTGACCTGTCGGTAAATCGTCGAATCCGCTTCCCCCAAGCAGCGATCTTTTGCTTCAGGTCGTCTATGCGCTCCGTTAGTTTCTGCGTGATATCCGGCTGGGACAAACTGATATTTGTCCCAGCAAACGCCATCCTAACGGTGCGCATAATCCTCGGTCTATTATTACCCGACCTGAAGCTTGTCAGTCTGCCGATAATGGCCCTTGCCTTTGCGATACGGTCCTCGATTCTTTTTCTCCAGGCTGGGATGGCGCTACTTTGTGTAGTAGCGCGTCCAGCCATGGGAAGTTTGGCGCCAATAATACGGCAAACTGCCACTGCGGCGCCAAAGAGAATTGAGTCCGTCTCGCAAAGGTCCCGGCTGGCTTCCAAATAGGTCACCAGCATTGGGTTAAGAGCCCTCACGACAGCCCGATTTCGCTTGCTTAGGGGTATGCGGGGGAAGTCGCGGTCGATTTTCGATAGGGGTGCTGCGCGTTTCTAAAATCGCCTCTTCCAGTATACTCCTCATTTTCTCTAGTTCGTGGGAGACTATTTCATCGTCGTTCGAATCAACCACAACGGGAAGATCCAGGGCGGCTTCCACGTGTGGATGCTGGTCTGTCGAATGTGGAGCTGCATCTCCAGCCATAGCCGATTCATTCGACGACGGAATAGCCTCACGTCGTAGTCGTCCGAGTTCGGCATCATCAAATATTTTCGAGCGCATGATGTACCGAACTCGGTCTGCCAGGTTTTGTTCCGTGACGGGGGTAGAAGGCTCCAGCTCAGCAAAAAAGCAATGCATCCGAGACCTATACGCTATTCCCACAGTTTCTTCCCCTTTCGCCCTATAGTACGCCCGCAATGCGTTTTCATTCATAGGTTTTGTCCAACGCATGCGACGTGCTCCACCAGCGGCGGGTGCCGCTTGCTGAGTCCGAGAAGACCCAGCCGACACCAAGCCTTCTGGTGGGGATGATGGATGCGAGGGGCTGCTAGGTGATCGTGCAGCTCCTCGCGCTCGGCTGGCGGCCCGCATGCTGCCGCGTCCAGCGCCAGCTCCAGACGCGCCCCGGCGACCCCCAGGCAGCGGCCCTATGCGCGTTCCTCTTTGTGCCATCATCCATTTTATGGGCGCCAAATAACGGGAGACGCCCAAACCCGGCACCGTTTCGTGGTTGGGTCATATGCACAAACGGACCTTTGCACCTACAATTTTGCCTAGGCACGGCGCTCACACCTCTTGGCAGGATGCTGACTGACTGCGCCGACGTAGCAGTTTTGTCACATAACTGTTACGTCAGCGGGCGATGGGGTCGTCACTTCCCTACGCCGCTTGGTCTCCCCTGCCGAGGGCTTCCATCTGGTTGGGCTTTTATTTATTTATGTATTTTTGTATTTATTTTATTTTATTAATATTTATGTATATTTATCTTTTCATTTTCATTTATAATTATATATTTATACATCCCAACCAGATGAGAAAACTATATAGATACCCCACATAATAATAATAATAATAATAATAATAATAATTCGTGCAGCACCTCGCGCCGCCAGCCGAGCGCGAGGTGCTGCACGACCACCCAGCAGCCCCTCGAATCCATCATCCCCACCAGCTGGCTTGGTGTCGGCAGGGTCTTCGCGGGCCCAGCAATCGGCACCCGCCTCTGGTGGAGTACGCCGCATGCGTTGGACAACCCAGATGAACAGCAACGCATTGCGGAAAGGGGGAGAAACTGGATGTTTGGCGTATCGGGCTAGGATGCATCGTCTTTTTGCTGAGCTGGAGCCATCTTTAACCGTCACAGAGCAAAACCTGGCAGACCGAGTTCGGTATATCTTGCGCTCAAATATATTTGATGTCGCCGAACTCGAACGGCTACGACGTGAGGCTGTTCCCTCGTCGGATGAGAATGCTACGGCTGAGGATGCGGCGCCACAAATGGTAGAGCAACCCGCAAACGTGGATGCCGCCGTGAATACCCCAGTTGTGGTTGATTCAAACGATGATGGAACAGTCGCCCAGGAACAGGAATTAGAGCATATGAGGAGTACATTGGAAGAGGCGATTGTGGAAACGCGCAGTACGCCTCTCGAAAATCGACCGCGACTTCCCCGCATAGCCCTAAGCAAGCGGAATCGGGCTGTCGTGAGGGCTCTGAACCCAATGCTGGTGACCTATTTGGAAGCCAGCCGGGACCTTTGCGAGACGGACTCAATTCTTTTTGGCGCCGCGCTGGCAACCTGCCGTATCATAGGCGCCAAGGTTTCCACGGCTGGACGCGCTACTGGCCATAGTAGCGCTATCCCAGCATGGAGAAGAAGAATTGAGGAACGTATCGCAAAGGCTAGAGCTCTCATCGGCAGACTGATATGCTTCAGATCAGGCAACAACAGGCCAAGAATTGTGCGCACCGTCAGGATGGCGTTTGCTGGGACAAATGTCAGTTTGTCCCAGCCGGATATAACGCAAAAACTGACGGAGCGCATAGATGATCTGAAGCAGAGAATCGCTGCTTGGGGAAAACGGATTCGGCGATATACCGAGAGGTCGACACGGTTCAACCAGAATCGTCTCTTCCAGAGTGATCAGAAGAGGCTCTATGAATCATTGGAGCGACCAATGGTAAGTGGAACGGGTCCAGCACCGAATCAGGCCGACACTGTAGCATTCTGGCGCGGCGTGTGGTCAGAGCCCGTAAACCACAGCGAGGGCCCTTGGACGGAAGTTGTGGCGAGTCAGTGTGCGGGTATTACGCCCATGGACCCCGTCATCATAACGCCGGATGACGTAGCTGAGGCGGTCCGTAGGGCCCCGAACTGGAAAAGTCCGGGGCTTGACGGGCTGCGTCACTACTGGCTGAAGGGGTTCATGGTGTGTCACTCTGTGCTTGCCCGACAGTTTCAAGAGGCTCTCAACCAGAAGTCGCTCCCAAGCCTCTTCACTACTGGGATCACTCATTTGGTTCCTAAAGACCAGGTTACCACAGACCCGAGCAAATACCGCCCCATCGCGTGTCTACCGACCATATACAAGACACTAACATCCATTTTGAGCGCGAGAATCACTTGTCACCTGGACTCAAATCAGGTGATCGCGCGCTCAAAATGGATGTCGGGGCTGTGGTCGTGGAACCAAGGAACCACTCCTCATTGACGCGGTCATTGGCAAAGTGGTGAAACGCAACCGTCGGAACTTCTCCGCCGCCTGGATAGACTACAGAAAGGCATTCGACTCGGTGCCCCATACATGGCTAAAGAGAGTCCTCGAGCTGTACAAGATAGACTGTACAGTTAGAGACTTCCTTGAGCAGTGTATGGGGCAGTGGAGTACGATCCTTTGTCATCTGGGCGAGTGGATGATGGCTGCGGAGAACCACATAAGGATAAGAAGGGGTATCTTCCAGGGCGATTGTCTGAGTCCAATCTGGTTCTGCCTCTCTCTGAACCCTCTCATTACCTTACTGGAGGGCTCCGGGAGGGGATTTCAGCTACGGAGAGGAGGGACAAAAGTGACTTACCTTTTCTATATGGATGACCTCAAGTTATTCGCCTCCAGTCGCTCCCATCTTATGGAATTGCTAAACATCACTTGTGAATTTAGCAATTCCATTGGAATGGAGCTTGGGACGGATAAGTGTGCGGTCCTCCATGTTGAAAGGGGAAGGGTTGCTAACTCTGAGGGCGTAGACTTATCTATGCCCGTCAACTTAAGGACCCTTTCCGAGGCTGAAACATACCGATACCTGGGTATGTCACAAAACATCGAAGAGACTGGTATGAAACAGTCAGTTTGCGACGTGTTTTATGCACGCTTGACCAAAGTGCTTAACAGCCTTTTGTCCGGTGTGAATAAGGCACACGCATATAACGGCTGGGTCATGCCTGTCCTCATGTATACCTTTGGCATACTCAGGTGGACTCAGACTGAACTTAACGCCCTGGATAGAAAAGTCCGCACTACCATGACGTCCCATAGGATGCATCATCCGAGATCGTCGGTAATGAGATTGTACTTGTCGCGGAAGCATGGTGGTCGTGGCTTCTTGAGCGCGCTCACCATGCATAATCGCGAAGTGTGCAGCCTCCGTGATTACTTCCTGGCGAGATCGGATGATCCATTCTATATGGACGTCATTTCTTGTGATAAAGGACTTACCCCTCTATCCTTAGCCAACGAGCAATGGCAAGACCCGGCAGTGCAGAGCATTTCCGACCGAGAGACCGTATGGAAGGAGAAGGAGCTCCACGGGAGTTTCTACAAGGCTCTACATGAGCCTTTCGTAGACACAGTAGCCTCCCTCCACTGGCTACGCTTTGGTGATCTCTTCGGGGAAACCGAGGGTTTTGTCTGTGCAATACAGGATCAGGTTATTAAGACCAACAACTATCGGAGATACATCCTAAAGGATGGCACCGTCGACATCTGTCGAGCTTGTCGCCATCCCGGTGAGTCACTTAGGCATGTTATCTCCGGTTGTTCGGCGCTTTCTAACTCTGAGTACTTGCACAGGCACAACCTAGTAGCCAGAATTCTACACCAGGAGCTCGCTCTGAAATACGGTCTCGTGGACCGGAAATTGCCGTACTACAAGTACTTGCCGGAAGCCGTGCTCGAAAATGATCGCGCCAGGCTCTATTGCGACCGGGCCATCATCACAGACAGGACTATTCTTGCGAATAAGCCTGATATTGTGCTGATGGACCGGGCACAGTCAAGGATATTTTTGGTCGACATTACCATTCCGACGAGAACCTCGTGAAAACCGAAACAGACAAGCAAACAAAATATCTGGACCTGGCTCACGAGGTGACCGACATGTGGGGTGGTCTGCCGACCGAAATTATTCCTGTAGTCGTCTCTGCAAACGGGCTAATCCCAGTCAGCCTCTCGGGTCATCTGAGGCGGCTGGGACTACGTGGCGGACCGCTCCAGGTTCAAATGCAGAAGGCGGTGCTCCTCGATACCGCCCGCATCGTCCGCCGGTTTCTTTCCCTTTCCCCCTAACCCTCGGCCGTTTGGTCTCCCCTGCCGAGGGCCTCCATCTGGTTGGGCTTTTATTTATTTATGTACTTTTATATTTATTTTATGTTATTGATATTTATGTATATTTATTTTTTCATTTTCATTTATAATTATATATTTATAGAACCCAACCAGATGAGAAAACTATATAGATACCCCATAACTATATAGATACCCCATAATAATAATAATAAGTCGTGCGAGGAAGAACATTTAAATAAAGTTATTTATTCATTCATTCTTCATTTATCGTATGAAGATTTGATTATTGTAGATAGCAGATGTCCACGGGCTGCAGGTGCCGCTTACCATACGATGGACTGTTGACAAGTATCTCGCTTTATTAACAAAATATAGTTTTGAAACTATACTATAGCGAAAAAAAGTTCATCGATATTACAGTGTGTACACTGGTGATACATAATAAAATTTTTATTTTACCTGTTTAAAAAATTATCAATACAAATATTGATAATTGATAGAATCAGGCGTTACTTTGCGGAAATCCATTATAATAAAGATATTGATCAATTTGCAACCTTCCGCTAACTAAATACAATGATGTGTCTTACCTCTTCAATCCAGGTAAGACACATCATTGTATTTAGTTAGCGGAAGGTTGCAAATTAATCAATATCTTTATTACAAATATTGACTCATTGTTTTAAGTGTTTACACACATACCGCCCGTTCATAACATTATAATTAAATAATTTAAGTGAAGTATCAAACTCTATTCGGATTATAATAGATATCTTTATTAAACGTGGAAAAGCCACGCTGCAGCCTTAATTGTAGCACGAAAGAGTTGGCTCGGACGGGGAAGGACCACGCTCTCACAGAATACTGGCTTAAAATAGTAGCTTACTACTGCTGTGTTTCGTATGGTGTGTGTAGAGATCCGGAGACACTTTTTTAACTGAAAACGAGGCATTAAATATTAGGCCTCAGGGGTGACAACGCATCTGCGTTTTGATTCTTGATCGAGGATAAATTTAGGTGTCTATGGACCACAGCATCCACTTACCATCAGGTGGATCGTGCTCCTTTGTCACCTTTTTTCTATAAAAAAAAGAAATAAGTTAACATTTTTAAATTAAAAAAATACCATATTTTTATCATTTGTATTTTCATCCGCATTCAAGCTATATTTAAAATTTCAAGTTTCATCGAGAAGTTGGTTTAAAATCAATTACTAAATTCCATCCGGAACGACAGATAAACGAGAAAGTGACTTAATAAAACTTTTTAATAATATTACTGCCCGCTAGGGATATTTTCATTACGTGGATAACGTAGTTGAAGCATCCACACATTTTTTTTAAACTAATATTAATTTATTATATTCACGCGAACACTACACATTGATTAAAACTAATTTTACGGATTTAATCGCGTTTAACTTCCCGATTTTTAATTCCCGATGTTTGTGGTCATATTTTATAGGGCCTCCGCCATTATATCAGATTTGATGGATCACAAATCCTCGCTCAAGAACATCGTTTCTTACCAAGGATGATATGTGAGGCTATTGAAATAAAAAAAAAAACATCCTAATTTCAATAGAGAAGGAAGCTGGGTATTATCACTCACTTGGGATCCTGTAATTAATAAAATTAAAACTAAACCCAAGTATAAACTAAAAACAAGACTTCAAGACACAGTAAGTTCATTCTGCGTAGATCGGACAGTAAATAATTATTAAAAGCTGAAGGAACTCCGTGTCAACACTGACATCGGGACGTCAGTCACCTCAGTCGCCCATGACAATGGGTGCTAGAAAGCACCGGAAACGTCGGAAATTAAAAATCAAGAAGTTAAATGCGGTAAAATCCGTAAAAGTAGTTCTAATCAATAAACTGATATTCTTTGTAACATTCATTGTACTCAAATTATCGCAAATGCAGAAAGATCTAGGTTCAGATCATTTATTTTAAGGTCATACAAACAATTGTGTACGTGCGAGATTCGAACCCGCTACACCAACGCAGCCACACGCCACAGCGCTAGCGACTCAGAGACCAGCCGCAGCTCATGGGATATAATAATTTTTTATTCAATATAGATTACAAGTTATTCCTATTGAACTTTTGTTACTTTTATCCTTGGTTCGGAAAAAAACGTTTGTTCTGGGAATAACAAGCAAGAAACCCACCTTATTTTCGATATTTTTTTACATTTTTCAAAAATTAGTTTTGGAAACAGCTTGGAAGTGACCACCTCATCCCAGGGTTTATTATCAACCCTGTATTAATTTATATGATTATAACATTTTTTACGGTTTTTGTTTATTAAATTAAGTGCTCACTTTAACTTAGTATGCGAGCGAACAAGAACAAGATTCCAGACAGAACTAATGATTTTTTTTATATTTACGCGAATACGAAATATTGAATAAACAGTAAAAGATTATCCTTAAGGCGAACAAGGCACGTTTCTAGGGGCGCAATAATACAGAGCGCACGCGGAATTTAGAAACGAAAATAAAAAATTAAGTATCTACTGACATAAAATAAAAAATTATACTTTCTATAGAGAATTAGCTCTGCCGGTCGTATGAGGAAGCTTAGAGTCGCTCAGCGAGCTATGGAGAGGGCTATGCTCTGATTGTCTCTTCATGATAAACTTAGGAACGAGGATATCTGCAGTAGAACCAGAGTGACCTACATAGCCCAAAGGATTAGTAAACTGAAGTGGCAATGGGCCGGCCACATAGCTCGAAGAACGGATAACCGATAAGGGAAAAGGTTCTCGAGTGGCAGCCTCGTACGGGCAGGCGAATTGTAGAGCGTCTCGCCACTAGATGGAGTGACGACCTGGTAAGACATGCAGGAAGTTGATGGATACAAGTGGCTCAGGACCATGCTTTGTGGCGTTCCTTGGGGGAGGCCTATGTTCGGCAGGGCACTTGTGAAGGGCTGTAATGAATGATAAAGTTAGACCTACCAGAGCGCCACCCCGTCTACTTCAATACTTCTATCACCTGCACCTTACTTGCTTATGTATACTCTAAGTTAAAATGACTCACTCATCACGTTTTTCGCTCACGTGTCACGTGTCGTAATTATATTGCAACTAAACTATGTTATAAATTACAATATAGTTTACTTGAAAAATAAGTATATAGTTGTAATTCATAAAATATGGTCGCCAGAGGGGCGCCGATGAGATGCTAGCCTAGGCCGCCGCCGACATTTAATCCACCTCTAGAATCAAACAGGAATTCAAACACCTCAGTCTCCCCTGCGATCATGGATGCCGTAAAGTGCCCGAAACGTCGGGAATTAAAAAAAAAAGACGTGTGGCACTCGGGGACTGCCGCGGTAAAGCTATTGCATAGCATTTTGTATCAACTTATGCAATTATAATTATTAATATAAGGACTATGTTGCCAGCGGCTTCAAACGCGTAAACTCGAAAATTATCCCACAGGAACGAAATACCTGAATAAACGGTATCAAATGTGTTATTCCAGACTAGGTATAACCTATCTCTGAGCTAAATATCATCCAGATCCCTTCAGCTGTTCTGGCGTGATTGAGTAACATACATCTATCCATCCAAACTTTCGCATTTATAATATTTAGATAATAATTGTAATTAGTTCTGCCTACTTATAAATTGTTTTCAAAAATACTTACCTGTCTTCTTACTTTTTTATATACACACAATATCACTAGATGTAAACACATGTTTTTATCAAGACAAGTGACCCGTCAAGACTGTTTCCTTAGTACCGACGTACTTAGGCACATAGGTAGGCAGTTTACATTTTAGTGTCCACGACGCAGCGACAGTTTGTAAAATTTTGTTGTATAGTAGGTTATGGGTATTTAGGTAATAACAGTAGGTACCTATCCACCGAACCGTCAACGCCGCGCAAGTGATTCTCGTCCCACCTGTCCGCGCAGTAACTTTTTTTACGACCGCGCGAGACTGTCGCAACAAAAACGATTACTACTGAAAAACTAATATAGGTACCTAACTAACATTCAAATAAAAATATTCTCAAAAAGATCAACGAATTCAGAGTTTAATTTTGTTAAAAGAAAATTGGTCAAATAAAAAATAAAGGATGAAAATAAAGCATAGGGGGGATATAAAAATAAATCGTATTTATTTTTTATTTCGAGTTTTACAAGAAAAGTATAATATTTACTGGAAACAATTATTTTATTATTATAATAGTACATGATATTCCCTTTAAAATGACACCAATATGAATAATATCTTATATCTATATCTACAAATAAATAAAATTGAAGTGTCTGTTTGTAATGTTAAAACAACAGCTTTTTATTAAATGCATATGAAAGTACTAGTAACAAAAACACAATTTTTAAAAATTTTATCTGTCTGTCGATCTGTCTGTCTGTCTGTTTGTTAAAGCTAATCACCGAAACAGCTGGATCTATTTTGACGGGACTTTCACTGGCAGATAGCTGATGATATAAGGAATGACTTGAATTTTGTTTTAGAAAAAGAATTAGGGTTCCGCGCAAAAAAATTAAAACCCATGAAATCTATATTCCACGCGGGCGAGATCGCGGGGAACAACTAGTACTCAATATAGATAAATGTATACTTATTTTTATTTATTTATTATTATATATTATAATAAAAATAAGTATTAATAATTTCTAGACACATCTCAAAAGATATTTCGTTAATAAATTGCTATCAATACTGAAGCATTCTTTTATATTTAGCATCCATTTAACACAAAAAAACTGATAAGAATACTTTTTAAACAACATATAATCAATAAACGATAATCGCGTATAGTGAATTTCGAGGTAAATTATTATATGTAAACGTTTTTGAATCGTCGTAATGATACATATTTCCAAAAGAAAATATCTTCACAATTAATTTAATGTAAAATAACATTAGAAATAACGTATAAAAACGGAGAAGTTATCACATTTTTGATCGAGTTCCTAACCAGTACACAAACAAAAATGGCGAATAGTCATTTTCACATTTTTTTAGAAATAACGTATAAAAACAGAAAAATTATCAAATTTTTGATAGAGTTCCTAACCAGTACACAAACAAAAATGGCGAAATGTCATTTTCACATTTTTTTCTATATAGTTATTTGTTACAGAGTACACAGATAAAATTCACTCTCATAGATGACAAATTTCAAACACCACAATCTCTAATTTTTTACTCTGCTATCTTCAGCGCTGTACACGAACGGACCGATGTCGTTGAGAGCCGTGTTTGCTCACATGGTTAGCGCTCGTTATAAGTATCACAGTACGGGAGCAACCCGAGTTCGATCCCCACTGGCACCAATGAAATTGTTGCGTGCTGATTTAGCTATCAGTTGGAAAGTCTGTTTTTCTGGGCCGTTTTGTTTTGTTACAC